GTCACTAAGCTAGACTTGTCAATTTTTATCTATTTTTGATAAATAAGAGGGGGGGGGGGGGGGGAACCCATGTTCCTAAAGGATTAGTACAACAAAAAGAAAAAAGAAGCAAAATTTATTTGAGGAAGCACATCAAATATCTTACTCACGAAGAAAAAGGACCCAAAATTTTCAAAACCAACTCATTTGATAAACTATTCCCAAAAAAAGACCCATTTCAGTTTTATTTGCAAAAACCGACCTGGTTTCAGCCTCAGCGCTGAAACCAGGTCGGTTTTTGAAAAAAAGTTTACGAAACTTCACGGGAGTTCAACTCCCGTGAAGTTTTTTCTCATAACAAAACTTCACGGGAGTTGAACTCCCGTGAAGTTTCGTAAACTTTTTTAGAAAAACCGACCTGGTTTCAGCTACAGTGCTGAAACCAGGTCGGTTTCTCTAAATAAATGTCAAACGGGTCGTTTTTTGCAATTAGTTTCTCAAATAGGTTGGTTTTGAAAATTTGTCCCGAAGAAAAATCTATAAAAAAGATCTTTTGTGGGTCCTGCAGAAGTTGGGTCAAGCCACCAGATATAAATGCGCCATCTGTTAACTACTATTTTGAGGCCCCCCTCTTGGGACGAAAAAGAAAATGTCCAAATTTTTTGAGGGCTCGACTCCCTTTCCCAAGTGCGGTCGCTGCGGTTCAGTCCTGATTTAGCCAGCATGAAAGGATTTTCATGCTCTTTGCTAATACCAGACTCTGATCTGACTCAGCAGGTAAATCCTTAGATTGCCTCATTTTCGTTTTTTTCTATGTTCAGATTGCAGTTTGCACCTGGGTTTTGTTGGATATATGCTTGTGTTTAGTTCTGACTCCAACACTTCATCTTTGTATGATCGTTCGACTGATATATTCCCTTAAACCCCTGTGGGGTTTTCTTCATTTTACTCACCATGCCTTGAGATTCCAAATTTTATGTGGTTTTTGTCTTTTTTTTGAGTTTTTCTGGGTGGGTTTTGATTTTTTTTTTTTTTTTTACTGATGGGTTTCTGAGGTTTGTGGGTAGTCTTTATTTGTTTTTGTTTTTGGGTGTTCTATCAATATGAGATACTTCAGTGCCTGTATATGTTGAATTTTGCAGATTTGGGTTCGAAAAGTTCGAAGATACATGCAGCCTCTCTGATCAAAACTAGATAATAAGCAGGAAATCACCTTCAAATTCCAATTGTTTTGAGCGAAATTTCACACGTTCGTTTTGATTCTAGCGTAGAGAAACCAGTGAATGGGGACTCAAGCAGTGTCCTCTCAGACCGGCAACAGGCAACGATCCCCGGTCCAGAGCTTTGCCAGGCAAGGGTCCCTTTATAGCCTAACCCTCAATGAGGTCCAAACCCATTTAGGCGAGCCATTGAATAGCATGAACCTCGATGATCTCCTCAAAAATGTGTTTGTGGACG